CGTATATCTTCCATATAGATAAATATATTTTATCTTACAAAATCTAATATGTATGACACTAAGATTAAATGTAGGCGTTTTTAATGTAAATTGAGTACGTTTGAGATTATAGGCTCTCTTAAACTGATTTGAGCTCACCAAACCAAAAAAATATCGCGTTAGTATGTAAATTTTCTTAAATAAAAAATCAAAAAAATAAGAAAAGTAAAAATGATGATTTTTGAAATTCAACCATTAATGTTTGATTTGTATAGTTGTAGGTTTATAACAAAAGCGTAACTTTAATTAGAGTAATATGAATACAGTTAAACGATATAAAAATAATAATTGTATGATCAATCACATATGGTATCCAAATGGACATAAGTACAGTTTTTATAAAATAATTAACATCGGTAAATGATTTATTATTAAAACATTATGTTATATGACGTTTAAATATAAAAAGGTTATATCTTAGTTGGATTTAAATTGGTAACATGTGTATTTGTGAGATCCTGTTAAAAAAAGTTAATGTAAATATTTAGATATTTTCAACATGGCATATAAAATTAATTAAAATGTTTTAATTGTTTAATTTAATTAATATGTCCTTTAAATTTTTCATTGAGTGACAGATAAGATTTTTTCACTTAGTGTCTCCTCAATTAATATATAGAAGATTAGTAGGACAATTTTTTTCTTCAATTATATGAGTTTTCGAAGGTATTTGTGGGTTATTTTAATGTAATGCCGATAGATGTTTACCATTTTACGACAAAACTACAAGTATAACCGTCTGACAACTAATGTTATTTTTTGCTAATTTAATTTGAACTACTAGTTGAAAATATATTTGAAAAAGTGATCAGTAATTCGCTAATTCGTTCCGGTACCACTTTCGCTAGCAAAAAAAAAGAGAGTTTGGTTTATGAAAAATTATGGTATGTTTATAACGTAATTTTTTTTTTTTGTTACCTATTCATTTATTTCGTTATAGTATTGTCAGAACAGACAACAAAAAGCTACATTTTTAAAAAATGCATGTTTTTAAGAATGTTTATGAATACTACGATGTAAATCACAATAAGTAGTATTGTAGTTCTTTATCAAAAAAGTAGTATTGTAGTTTTAGATAGTATCGTCGTTGCGTTACTATCCGGATATAAACCCGCAATTGGCCCGTATGTTTTTATTGAAATATATAGATAAAAATTCTCCAACTACAATTATAAAAAGAAAACGCACATCAAATTTCCGAAATAATGAAAATTTCAAATAGCATTAAAAAGTCAAAATCTGAAGAAAAACTCAACTTCGATGAGGACATTACAGAAAGAGTGAATCACATTACAACGTGATATACAAGATAACAAAAAAAAAAAAAATGTAGCACAAATATTATTGAAAAGAGAAATTGTCCAAAAGAGTTGCATCTCATTCTTATGCACACATTGTCAAAGGGAAAAAATGTGGATGCAATAGCCAAATCCCATACCCACCAATTATTTCTGGATAATTAATTAACAGTTTGCCAACTTGTTATCTTTATTTTTCAACAGGCTTTAAAAGATCTTCAAGATTCGGGCAAGAAAAACGATTTTGAAGACCAAAAGAGAATAAATAAACCCCTTTTTAATTGAAAAAATGTCCCATTTTGCACTTTGAAATATACCCAATTTGCTTTATGTAGAAAATACAGATAGATAATAATATATTACCTTTATTTTCTTACCTCATTGCTTATGTAATCTAAGACAACCTGAGGAAAGTCTCTGCAGACCAAAAAACTCCACTCTTATAATATTTTCCCAATTTTATAAGACAACAATTAAATTAAGCCAAACAAATCCATGGGAGAGATCAAAGTTTATTAAATAAACAAAAACTTGCAAAGTCAATAAAATCACCAAGGAACATCACATTATTCCATATCCATTTCCTAAGATGTGAGTACATGGTAACATAAGGAACAAACCAATTATATCCAAAATTCAAAGATCAAAACTTTCTAGCTTTATCTGTGTATCCAAAGTTTGAAACTTCTTTCTATGTATTCACAAGAAAAAGAAAGAAGGAATCATATTCGAAACTCGTCCTACATTACCTAACCACATGTACTGTCTATGCCTCAAACCATTAACATCAGAAAAGTATCAGTAGCTTCAAAGAAAGTCAGCTTCCAGCTAATAACGGCTAGACCGCCTCACGAACTTAGCCCAGTCGATATGAATCTGAAATCTTCTTATATTGCGCCATGAACATCTTTTTCCCCTTCTGCAAAATCTATGTCCCGTATGTCAACATCCTGGAACCTGGGACGGTCTAAATCCATAGCACTGCTCTCTATTTCGCTCGGCTGCATGATAGGATATCCACAATCGACTCCAGGATTAGCAGTCTCCATGTGATTGAGACTCCCGAGTAATTTAGCATCTGGAAACTGCATCTGGTATGTGAAATTTGACGGTCTATTAACTTGATCCTGCGATGTCTCTTGACGAATCACATTGTTCTCGCCTAATATACCTAACAGCTCATCAACATCAAACACTTCATCCATACCTAAGTCCCATGGTTCTTGTTCAATGCCATTTCCCACTACCCACTCATCTAACGTCTCCTTTTTCGGGTCCAGTCCAATTCCAAAAGCATCAGCTGAGTTAATTTCCCTCGCTTCCTCTTTTACTTCCACCTCCTCTTTAATACACTGAGAACTATTTAAGGGAACATATTCATCGCTACAATCCTCTAGTTTCACCTTAGCAAACCCAGTTCTCACATTTGCATCCTCAAGTGCACAAACTTCAGATTCATCTGAAAAGTTAGTAACCGAGCCAGACACGGTGGCAGCAGTCGAAGAAGTGCCATTCGTGATGTCAGGAAGATTGAGCCGGGCAGATTGACCGTGAATAGCTTTTGCAGCCTCGTCATAAGCCAATGCAGCATCATAAGCACTAGGGAAAGTACCCAGCCATAACCTACTACCACGACCTGGCTCACGTATCTCAGCGACCCATTTACCCCATGTTCTCTGTCTAACTCCTCTGTAGTTACAATTCCCATTTTCAGGTCCTCCTTTACCTCTCATACAACCCTTCCTCGAACCTTTCGCAGGAGCTTTTCGAATCGGCTTAGTACCATCACCATCGTCGCAAGAAACAGACCCGGTCTGCTCATTGTACTCTCTCCATTTCCTCAGAGTCTCAGCTACCTTGGCACTTTCTCGCGACTTCCGTTTCCTAGTAGAATCAAATGGCATAGAAGCAAGATTAGCAACCTGCTCAACAGCTCCCATTTCTCTTTTCCGGTTCTTCTCACAAATTTAAAGCAACACACTTTACTATACTCCGAATCGAAAATCTTAAAACCTCTTGAACGTAATCACATTGAAGTAGCTACAAGGAGATTAATTTCACAATCTGCAGCAAGACAGCGAGCAAAAACGATTCCATCACCAACAAAACTAGAACAGAGCAAACTCAGAAACAGGAAAAAAATGACCTCTCAAGTAAAGAATCTAACTTCTACTTCTTCAGGGAAGAAACCAAATTCGCATTTTATCAGATACCTCAATCCAAAGAGACAAATTTTTGCCCAAAATCAATCAATTAGTTACCGAAAAAACCCCTAAAACCCTAAATCGAAACCCGCGAGCTTCCACATATTACACAAATCCTATAGAAACCAAAAAACTAAAATCTCAACACTCAGAAATCACATCTAGATAAAGATTAAACCGAAACAAGGACCGATTTTAGAAAGGAGAGAGAAAAAAAAAATCGTAAAATGTTGCAAACAAACCTGACAACAATATCCGACGGCATGTAAGAAAATTTTCCGACCAAAGAAGATTTTCCGACTAAATTTCCGTCTGAAGCAAGAACAAGAACGAGATTTTGTAGAAGATTTGTAGTAGTAGAAGCAAAGACGATAGCTTTTTCTTTGTTTGTAAGCAGAGAGAGATTTAACAAACAAAACAAAAAAAGTTTGTGATTGTAAAAGGAGAAGCGTATTTATATATTAAAGTGTTTTAATGAGATATTTCAGATATTTTGGTGATGACGTGGCGCTCGAAAGTTCGAGATTTTGATTTCGGCTTTGGATCCAGCCCTTTCTTTTTTTTTTTTTTGCTTTGGGCCTAAGTTATATATTCCATTTAATATTTTTGTTGACTATTTTACCCTCAGCTTTCTGTGTAATTACGCTTTATGCCACTCTTTGGATAAGTTTGCTTTGACTTGACTAGTCAAAAATTCAAGTCAATGTTTTTAGAAATCAGGCTTTGGTGTCCATAGTATTACAATTTTAAGTGTGTATCGATAAACTTTTTTTAATAACTTTCATCGTTGATAGTATATGCATGTATCAGTGGTATATTAACCAATATATACAAAATTAAGATTATGATTTGTAAAATTTGATATCTATGTAAATAAAACCATAACCAAAATTTGTTGTAGTTTGTCATGTTATATATAACTTGAATTTATATGTTTAGATAAGGTTTCTATCTTATACAACTTCTACGAGTACAAACTTAATAGTTAATATGCAGAACCTCAAAATATAAAGCAGTTGGACCATAAATGTTATAATTTTTTTGAAAATGGTTTTTCCTTGTCAACTTCTTATTTAGTATATGGTCTGATAACAGTACAGATCCTTTGCTTTCATCATGAATCAGTGCTTGAGAAATGAAATGTTTGACTAACATTATAACAACAAAAAAACGTTTTGTACATACAACATTTGGAATTAGAATAATCCAAGAAACAGAGAAATCAACTAACCATTAAATCTGTCCAGGCATAAAAGTCTCATATAAGCTCTTGAAACTGAAAAATGAACATCAACTGGATATCTTCGATATATAAATGTGTACACTTAAATGGAGTGACGAGAAAGAATACCTTTGCGTCCAGTGAATGTCGAGAAACTAATGAAGAAGCAGCAAAATTCCCAAGATAATCTTCCATTCATGTTTTGTACAATTGCAAAGTGACCTGTTTGCTAGCCTACTAGTCATCTAAAAGAAAGATGTTTGTTAAAACTCATGTTTCCATAGTTGATATGATTATCATAACATCATCATGACGAAGCTTACAATCACGCCAAGACCAACTCTTAAAAAATTAACCGTCAAGTCTCCATGAGGTTTTGTAACAGTCCTGAGTTTTGACACTCGATATAAAAATCGAAATTCTCATCCATTTCATAACTGACAGCAAGGAGGCTATGATACTGATTTGTTGGGATTTGTGGCGGATTGTGGCCATCGATTTTGTGGTTTGGGACAATGGGAATAACGACAGTTAGAGGTTAAATGTAGCGATGTTCAATGATATAGAGGTCAAATGCTTCACGATCACCTGGGAACGGAGAGAAATGGACCACACGATAAGAACGAATCACCCTTCGGGCCCAATGAGTCGGGAAGCCAGCAGCTTGCACGATACCAAAGGAAGCAAAGATGTGAAACTGCCTAAACACTTCAGGGGATGCTTTTACAGCTATTGAACCGTGAAGCAAGAAATATCCTCTGACAGTTTGAAGGCCAGTATGTTCTCCACGGAGAAGTGAGAGAGTAGCACTAAGAGAGGCAAAACCAAATGACCTAATGTTCTCAAACGCATCAGGGAACGAATAAAACATATTCGCAAGTAATAGGAGGTTGTTCCTATGAAGAAATTTATTGCATTAATAAACCATCTTAGATAACATAAAGCAATAACGTTGTGACCAGCAAACTATCTTAAACAAAAACATGGATACAAACATATAGCACAAGATCAATAATGAACACATTTTCACTCATGCCAAAGGTTAATATTTAAAGCGGGATATATAAAGGTATACCTTGGCGCAGTATCAAACATTATTTCTCATAATGTCGAGAATATGATTCATCCACTTCGGAAATCACTTTGTTCACCATCTTTCTGCTCAACTAACTAGTAATTCCACACCACTTTTTGTCTTTTTCTTTATTCCATTTTATTTCACTTATTTTTCCAAATTCGTTTTGTAATTGAGACACGAGTTAGTTAATCTAAAATGATGCATAGAAGACACTGAATCTAGATCTTATCTCAAGTTTAAATACAATTTTTATCAAAAAAAAAAGTTTAAATACAATTGAACGTAAAAGAATAATAACATCTATCAATAAATCCGATCACAATCACCATAGTAAAACAAAATCAACTTAGGCTAAGTTTCTTCTTTTAGAAATGCAATATTCATCATGTGGTTGAACTCTCGATTTGACTCAGCCTATCTTACGCCAAAACAAATATTTTGTTTATATGATCACTTAGGCTTACTTATGGAATTAAATAGAATTTTAGCTCAACAACCATTCAACACGTCAAATTCATTCCCTTGGTCAAACACAACTTTACGAAATATCGAATGAATGTTCAATTAAGCTTAAAGAAAAACGAAAAACCAAATTTCATGATACTCTTAGGCTAAGCACTGATTTGGTACTATAATGTCAAAAGAATACATCAATAATCGAGAAAAATAAGGTCCAACTCAGGAGTATAGGACCCGGTTTAATCTATAACCAACAAAAAACAATTGAATATAACATGAAAACTATTGTGTTTTTTTAATGTTACAAAGAGATCTTATAACTCCCAACACACGGGCAAATCAGCCGGAGGCTCCTCCATTTTCTCTAATAGTCCATTGCCGTTCTCAACCAAGAAAGCCATGGCTAGTCCCCAAGATATGTGTACATCTAGATGACAATGCATGATCCAAACCCCTGTTTTCAATCATTTGTAGACATAGTTAATTTTTATTCAATACCAATAATCAATTAGTAATAAATTGTAAAATATAATTAAAGGGTTTATCAAGTAAAATAGGAGTGTTCAATATGGATACGCCCGTTCCATAAAACCAAATCGTACGTAGTATGGTTTAAATAGA